ATTGCTGTTGTTTTTTAAGTGCCATCGAGTCAGTTCTGACTCATAATAACCCTGTATAGGGTTCCCTAAGAGCAGCTGGTAAGTTGGAACAGCCGACCTTGTGGTTCACAGTCCAGTGTATTTAATATCTGAAGGTAGTTGCAGTATAAATTTTTAGGTTTTGGTGAACAGCCTTGTAACTGTACCAGCATATACATTGTTAAAGCATTTCTGGAACAGAAAGAAACTAAATGTTGTTTTTCTAAGAAGCAGATTTCTGGATGAATTGTGAGTTTATAGTATAATGGAATTCATATGTTTTGGTTATTATTTTTAGGAGAAATTTTAGCTATTTTTTTGTTTTGTTTTATTGTTGTTGTTAAATGCCTTTGAGTCAGTTCTGACTCATAGAGACCCTATATAGAGTTTCTGAGAAGTAGTTGGTAAATTTGACGTGTCATCCTTGTGGTTGGCCAGGTAGCAGCATTGATGGACTCAAGTGTCGCAGCGGTTGTTTCATTCTGCTGTGCATGGGGTCGCTATGAGTCGGTTCCGAATCGATGGCACCTGACAACAACAACAACAACCTTGTGGTTTAAAGTGACCTTGCTGTCCAGTGCATTATTATCCCACAGCGCCATACCACAACTCCTATTTTTTATTGTTGTTAAATGCTGATTGTTGTTTTGTGCCATGGAGTCGGTTCCAACTCATAGCGACCCTGTACAGGGTTTCTGAGGCTGTAAATCTTTACAGGAGCAGAAAGCCTCATCTTTCTCTCATGGAACAGCTGGTAGTTTCGAACTGCTGACCTTGCGGTTCGCAGCCCGATTTGTAACCACTGCGCTACCAGAGCAGTTACATGAGGGAAACTACAGTTCTACTTTTGTAGTTTATGCTATTTTACATCTAAGAATTTCCCAAGTAAGGATAGCTAATGGAAAATATGAATGTAATTTTGTAAGGAACCTAGGGATTTTAAGCCTGAAGAAATTTTGAAAGGTGAATCTCTTTTTCAAAAGGGGGAGTTGCCTTATTCGCCATAATTCTGGATGGAAGGAGTTGGGTTAAAGGATAGAAGTTACACTGAGACCTTGCTAATAACCTCTGTGTAATACTGAATGAGATGTCAAAGGATTGTGTAGTTAGGGTTCTGTCTTGGACATTTTTATATGTTCTGTCAGGGTCTTTGACAAGGGGAGAGGAAAATCGTCACTAAAGCAACGCAAATTGGTTGTTTAAATATGAGCATCTGTAAATCTAATTTCTTCTCCATTCTAGATCCCATTTATAAAGTGTGATTCCTGCTGTGGTGTTAGATTAGCAATTATATTGGTGATTGAGTGCTGACATGAAGTTTAACTCTGTCCCTCGTCTCTTATTTTAACTGCATTTTCAACTACCAGTTACCATGATTGTGTTTGTGTTTTTAGCAATGTTACTGTGCCTTTCTGTAAAGGAAGGAATATATGGTGGCTTTTTGGAGAACAAGTGCTCATCCCACCACCATTGTAGACCACTTAGTATAGGCGAGCACTGCAAGGGATGGACTGTCAGAATTTACCTTGTCTCTCCGCTCTGGATTCTTTCCTTTTGTCCTTTGATCTCCACAGCCCTGGAGATGGCAGTGCTGAGATTGGGAGTGCTAACCAATCAGAAATAAGTATCCTAACAAATGGCCAGAAAAGTATAAAATTCATAAAAACTCGAAACTCGTCCCAGAAAAAGGGAATATATATATATATGAGTTGAATAAGTGCTGTACTTCACAAGTTGTTTTATGGCTTGATTCTGAGTTGTAGCAATGTCCATTTGGCTATAATCTGGGCTTGACCATAATTCTTAGCAAGGGTCACATACATTTGTTTGAGGAGAGAGGTCAGCAATAGACCCTTATGCTAATTTGCTTTTAGACCCATTTTCCAAATGCAGTTCATGACCAAGAAGGAAATAATATCATAAATGATAAAGCAAATAATAATAATAATAATAAAGGAATGAAATAAACAAATGAGGCTATAAAAGCAAAGCAGTCCTTAGGTGGTACCAATGGTCAATACACTCAGCTATTAACTGAAAGGTTGGAATTTCAAGTCTACCCAAAGAAGCCTGTCAATCTGTTTCCAAAATACGAGTCGTTGAATGTACAGTTGAACTCTAGCATACATGGGTCATCATGAGACAAAGTCAACTCCAGAGCCACTCGTGTTGTGTAAAAACAAAATCTACTGTCCCTATTTTTGCATGATAGTGTTGTTGTGAAGTGCCATCAGGTAGGTTCAAACTCATGAGAACCCTGGATAGAGTTTGCAGAGAGCAGCTAGTGGGTTTGAACTGTGGACCTCAGGGTTAGCAGTCCAGGGCTTGTCCTACAGTGCCACACCAGGACTTTGCAGGATGGCTAGGACTTATTTCTTGAACAAAGAAAATTAATATGTAGCGTTTTACATTTTAAATATTATGATTTGATTGGACCATGTGTTATGGGCCATATGTAATTCACCCATAAAGATATATGAGGCAGCATTGTTCCCTGCCTAACATCTGGCAGTCTGTCTATTTCTATATCTTAATCCCTAATATATATTGAAGTGGTGAAATGTCATCAAAGTTGATTTTTTTCCTAAACACTCTATGAATTTTCAATCATTTCTTCTTGAGAATGACTAACTTGGGCATGCCAGCAATAAAAGAACTGCTGTTGCCAACATTTTTTGCATGCCTCTGCTCCTCTTTTTTCCCCAGTGGTGTTGGCCACAGGCACAACTGCAGGGAAGGCCAGAGTCCTCCTGAGCTCCTGAGTGGCCCCAGAATTTGAGTCCACATCAGCTATTTCAGGTTTGAAAACTCCTCTGTAGACGCTTCACATTCTATTTTAAAACTGGCATTAAAAAAATAACCCAGGGAGCCTCTGAATGAGATGCTTTCCTGCTCTAGAAATGCTCAACTGAACTGAGGCTAACCCCAGGTTTGGCTCCCAAACATGGAATAATTACCATGCAAGTACAGAAACTCCATTTAAAAAATGTAGACTTTATACTGTATCCTCCTCAACATATTAGACTTCTAAATCTGTACCATATTCTTGCATGAAATATGCCTAGGGAAATAACTTGCACATGCCTATAACATGCTTACGAAGCTAGCAAAGGAGTTGTGCAGTTCATATATATGTATTAATGAAATGAATATATATATATATATATATATATATACACAATGATACAATTTATACATTATTTGCATTAAAATACAATAGTTCTGTGTAGGGGATTTTTAGGTTTTATTATAAATTAGCAGTGGTGGTGGTGTGCCGTGGAGTCGGTTCCGACTCATAGCGAACCCATCTTTCTCCTTCGGAGCGGCTGATAATTTTGAACTGCTCACCATGTGGTTAGCAGTCCAACTCATAACCACTATGTTACCAGAGCTCCTTTCCAATAAAAATTACAGCCTAGAAAACCCTATGGGGCAGTTCTACTCTGTCTCATGGGGTCACATGAGTTGAAAATCCACCTGACAGCACCCAACAACATCATCAACAGCAAACACTCAAAGTATTTACAGAGTGTAGAGAACAAGTCTGATAAACACTTCACTTGGAGAGTTCTCTTGTTGAGTGTTGTTTTTCTGGGAGGGCTGATAAAGTCTGCTGTTTGTGTTAGGGCACCACCTTATAACATCTGGTAGGGGAAGCACTGGTTGAAAGACCTGGCATTAAAGTCATCCCTCCAGGGGTTCTGTGGCACAAGAACTGAAGAAATGGGGAGATGTAGCAACTTGTAACATGCTTCAACAGCCACAGCTGCTAAACTGGGGTAAAGGCTGCCATGGTTTTCAACCCTTCTTCCTTCTGATTGACTGAATTGATAAAATGTTCACTGAAAGTTTTCAGTCTATTTAAATTATAGAAACCCTTATTTGCTAAAGTATTTCCGCCCCCATGTGGGGGGGGGGGGTTGTTGAAAAAGAATTGTGAAGATTTTATTACACTGTTTGCTGTGTAATTTCATTTGAAATTGAGATCTTTTCTGGGTACCTAGGACCTCTAGACGCCATTCATCTTCCTTTATATATGTAGTGAAGCCTTTTGAGCCAGTTGCAGCTTCACCATGGTGGATCATTGTAATAAAAAGTCTTGAAGTGTAATAAGCAGTAACTTAAGCTCCTAAATGTGTAACAAATGTCATGGTTATGAGTGATCTGTCTTAAGGAGGAAGCAGTTTTATAGGTGTGTAAATGAAAAGGTGACTGTGAGGTTGTCCTTTTGTGGCCAATATTAGTGCAATTAGACCCTCATGTAATTGAAGCTGTTGGTCAGGGAAATGAAATATTGAACTGAGGCCTTCATCGCACATTCAAGGAAATACAAAGAAAAGAGGTGGACCTGTTGTTTTCAAGAACTGTTTTTGCTATTGGCTTAGACATGTTCCCTTTATTGGGTCTGTTTTGCAAGCCTAAATTTGAGCCTGAAGAGTTTCTCCATATAAATGTCTTAAGCATTGCAGTGGCATATCCATCACCCTTTTTGCTTTTGAATTACAAAGATAACCTTAAGATATGAGCCTTATACTGGGCAATGTGATACATACACAGAAAGGGTGAGCCTCCTTCTGTGATGAAATCAGCCAATGCCCAAGAGGAAAGTAATAGGCAGAAAGGATCGAGTTGATGAAAAAATTGATTCTTTTCCATTAAACTGTACGTGATATGTTTTTTATGAAGCAGACATCAGCTGAAAAAGAAATATTTTTTCAACTAAAAGAGATTGATGATAAGGGAGAAGAAAAGTATGTAAGGGATCAAAAGATAAATATGTGTCTTACTCCATTACCATCTCAAATAATGAGAAAGTTGAAAAGCATTCCATTGTACTTACCTCAAATGTTTACTTGGACTTGGTTTTATTAAGACTTTTTAATGCTAATAATAACTCTCTCTCTCTTTTTTTTTTTAAAGTGCATTTGGACATCACTCAGCATTATTTTCTCAATGCTAAAACTTGTGTTGCTTATTTTCAGGCTTACCCAAGATGCAGGTCATTAGGAACTATACTGGAACCCCACCCCCGGCTCTTCATGAAGGACCTCCATTACACATCCAGGCAGGGGACACCATTGAGCTTCTGAAAGGAGATGCACATAGTCTGTTTTGGCAGGTACTATCCAAATTGCAAACTCTTAAGATTTACTGGATCATTTATTGCTGCTTAGAGAATAAAGTCCTTGTCTTTAGGAAATAACTTGCTTCAGAAATTTTACATGATTTGGGGGAAATTATTTTATATTAGCCTTCCCCATGTTTACCAACACCAAAGTGGCAATGAGTGTTAGAATGCTAAAAAAATAAAAATAATAATACCGGTGCTGTGAGTCATAATTACTATTTTTATTAAAAATTTATACACTTTTTTCCCCCATGCCCAGGGCCTGTGGGGATGATCTAATTTGCATGGCTTTAATATATTAACATTTCACTTCAGGGGAACTACCTAATTAGCTTGCCACTGGCCATTTCTTGCCATATTTGATTTGTGCCTACCTACACTAATACCTGAAGGTCTCAGGGGTGCTGTGGGTTTTATTCATGAAACATGTGAAATGTGAAAAGTAAGTAAGCATGTTGAGGTTTGCTAGTGATGAAATCTCTCCTGGCCAATAAGCCTATATTTGATTGAAGGACTTTTCTAAGGTATGTATGGTATCCTGTTAAGATTTGCTAAAGCTGGGTGATAGAACATTGCTGTTTATTAAGTTATTCTCTGTTTTTATGTGTATGTTAGAAATATTCTCCACTAAAGTCAGAGAATTTCTTTAACATAGATAGAGTGCTTTGAGGAAATCAGCAGAGAGATTAGCACAAGTGAAGTTTGACTGGAGGTAAAAAAAAGGGAAAACTGAAAAAGACCACTGGGCAAAAATCCATTGTGTACATGTCTACATGGAAGCTATTTATTTGCTTAAAACATTTCAAGGTTTGCCATCTTGTTACAGAAAGATGCCCTTAGATTAACCATTCCTCTCCAAGCACCTTTTTAATTGCTTTAGACAGTGACTTTTCCAAATCACTAACAACAGTTTTCTTAAGTATCCTATTCTTCTCATACATCATCCTTCCCAGAAAAGAGAGAGTGAGAATAACGCACTTAAATCTCAGTAACTCTTCAGTCTACTCCTGGGTCCCCAACTCAATCACAAAACATAACTGCATTTACACCTGTTTTTGTTGTTGTCAAGTGCCATCAAGTCGAATCTGACTCAGAGCGATTCTCTGTACAGTTTCAGAGGCTTTAAATCTTTCGTGGGAACAGAAAACCTCATCTTTCTCTCAAGGAGCCGCTGGTGGGATCAAAGCACTGACCTTCTGGTTTTCAGTCCAGCATATATCATATGGAGCCATTATAAGATTCCTCATAGCTTTCCTCTTACTCAAGATTCATTTACCTTCTAAGATTCTTGATCCTATATTTCATAAGTTGGCCCTTGATTTTCCTAAATTTTCCATTTCATTCTCTCCACTTGCTCCTTTTCCTTAGCATATAAAAATGGAGGAGTTTTAACAAGCTCCTCCCATGTTAAAACACATAACTCTACCTTTCATATGGTTCTGCTCATTATTTCATCTGTTTGAACTAGTTAGTCATACGTCTCTCTCTCTCTTTCTCCTTCTCCCTTGGTTCCTCTCTCCTTCCCTGTCTCTGGACTTCCAGCCCCTAAAGCTAAGCTAAGCTTCTTGAGAGAGGAGCCCTCACTCACTGTCATCACCTCCTTATCTGTTATTCAGAATTGAGTCTCATGCAAAAACTACTTCTTGGGTCACTAATATCATTTTTTAAAAAAGATTTATTGAGATATAGTTGACATATGATAATCTATAGATATTTAAAGTATACATTTGATAATTAAGATAATAAATATATCCATCAACTCCAAAATTTTTGTGTGTTCCTTGGTAATCACTTCCTCTCACCCCTACTTGATGCTTCCGAACCCCCAGACGACCACTTCTCTGTCTTCTATTACTTTAAATAAGTGTGAATTTTAAGTAATTTTTGTAGTACATACAGTCCTGGTGTGGCACTGTAGAGTAAGCACTGGATTGCTAACCACAAGGTCAGCAGTTCAAACCAGCCAGATGTTCCTTGGAAACCCTATACAGGGTCACTATGAGTCAGAGCCGACTCGATGGCACTTCCTACCTTCTTCTTCATGTAGTCCATACTGAATTTTATGCATGTGACATGCACACAAATAATATACACACATATGACACACATAACACTCATAGGAATCTGTCATGTGAGGAGGTTAACTAGTTTGCAACAACGATATACCATGTGTTATTTGCCTAAAAATACAGTAATATATATTTTCTTTTTTTTTGTCTTGCTTCCTTCACTCAACACAATTATGTATAAAACATCCATATTTCCTGTGTATAGCAATAGGGTTTTGTTTTGTTTTTCCTTTTAATTTATGTAGATTTTATAGTGATGTCACCTCTGTCTTTCCTGATATTGATAATCTGTGTCTTTTCTTTCCCCTTACTCTGTCTGGCTAGATGGCTATGAATTTTATTGATTGTCCCTGTTACAGATTGAATTGTGCCTCCTCCAAAAAAATAAATGTTATAAATCCTAACCCATTTATGCCCATTGTTATAATACCATTGGAGAATCCGTTTTCTGTTATTTTAATGATGTCACTTAACAACAACATGCTTTCTTCTTGCTGCTTATAGTAAAATATGAAAAGAAAGAGATGGGCTTTAAAATGAGCTGTGTGAAATAAAAGCAAAACCTGAAAGTATTTGTGAACTTCTCTTGTACAAACTAAGGATATGTGTCCTAGGATCTTCACCAAGGATGTCATTACACAGACTTTCGTTAAAGAAATTAAGCCAGTAACTGATGGGTGGAACCAACTACCACAGCAGAAAACCTATCAGTTTAGACTGAAAAGGGCAGTGGAAGAATGAGAGGCAAGAACACTGCCTCTTGTAATTCTGTAGGCAAGAGAAACAAACCAAAGCAGTTGAATCCTCCAAGAAAAGAAAAGGCCATTCTTGGAGCATATCAGAGATCAAAAGAACTGTTGGAAGAAGCATGGGAAGCAAGGTCTTCTTGGTTCCAAAGGGTGGGGCCATAGCCTCTGGAGTCTAGCCATGCTCTCTGAGGTTACAAACAGTTAGGATTTTCACCAACTACCTTGGAGGCCAGGATGGCTAAGCTTCATCTCTCCTACTTTGGACATATTGTCCGGAGGAAATAATCGTTGGAGAAGGATGTCATGCTGGGTAAGGTGGAGGGTCAGAGAAAAAGAGGAAGACTCCCAACGAGATGGATCAGCCAGGTGGCATCACTGATGGACTCAAGTGTGGCAGCGGTAGTGAGGTTGGCCCAGGATCGGACATTGTTTCGTTCTGCTGTGCATGGGGTCGCTATGAGTCGGTTCCGACTCGATGGCACCTGACAACAACAACACCACCATTCATTTTAGCCAAGAGGATGGGGATACCTTGCTCAAACAACATATTAATGGAGGCTTCTGGAGTTGAGAGGGTGGGATCACCACTCAGATGGACTAGGAAGGTGGGGCAGTCTAAAGCCCAGGGAACAAAGTTGCCTTTCCAGTATGCCTAGAAGGTGGGGCTGCAGCCCAGGGCTGAGGAACCACCACCCAGAGTCTAGAGGGCAGAGCAATTGCCCAGATGGTTCTAAAGAGCAGAGTATTTTCAAACCTTGAGATTTAATATAAATTGTTCTGCTGGATTTTGGACTTGCTTGGTGACCATGATCTCTTCTTCTCTCTAATTCCTCCCATTTGTAATGGAAATATCTTCCTTGTGCCTGTTCCATCATTGCACTTTGTTGTTGTTGTTAAGTGCCATCGAGTGATTCTGACCCATAGCGACCCTGTATAGGGTTTCCAAGGAGCAGCTGGTGAGTTTGAACCACCGACCTTGCAGTTCAGATGGCTTTGCAGTCTGACACATTAGCCAACAGCGCCACACCAGGACTCCATCACTGTACTTTAGAAACAGATAATTTGTCATTTTTAAATTGTTTAAATTTTACAGTTTCACATATGAGTAGGAAATTTTCCTCCAAATAGACTATACCTACAGACTCACCCATATTTAACTGGGAGGATTCAGAAAATGAGAATTTGGACTTGGAGGAGTAGATTTAAGAATTTTGGGGTGATCCATTCTTTGCATGTGGTAAAGGACATTAATTTGGGAGGCCAAGTCTGGTATGTTATGAATTGAATTGTGTGCCCCCAAAATACAACCTCTGTGCCTGTGCTTATAATCCCATTTGGGAATAAGTTTTCTGTAATGTTAATGAGATAGGTATAGTGTAGGGTTGTCTTGAGACAGTTTCTTATAAGATAAAATAAGCAGATTAGACAAGCAGAAATTTGAAAAGAGAGATGATAGGCCATATGAAGATTGTCCAGGAGAAGAAACTCAAGAGACAAGGACATTTCTCCAGAGCCTGCAGCGAGAGAAAGTCTTCCCCTAGAGCTGGCATCCAGAATTCAAATTACTGACTCAACAACTTGCTATATGAAGATGATACAACCGTGCTTGCAGAAAACGAAGAGGATTTAAACTACTTGCTGATGAAGATCAAAGACCACAGCCTTCAGTATAGGTTACACCTCAATATAAAGACAGAAAAATCCTCACAACTGGACCAATAAATAACATCCGTATAAATGAGAAAAGATTGAAGTTGTCAAGGACTTCATTTGGCTCAGATCAACCATCAACACACATGGAAGCAGCAGTCAAGAAATCAAATGACCTCTATTGCATTAGGCTAATCTGCTGCACAAGACCTCTTTAAAGTGTTGAAGAACAAAGATGTCAGTTTGAGGACTAAGGTGCTCCTGGCCCAAACCATGCTATTTTCAATAACCTCATACTCATGCAAATCTTGGACAGTGAATAAGGAAGACTATAGAAGAATTGATACATTTGAGTTATGGTATTGGAGGAGAATTTAAAAGTACCATAGACTGCCAAAAGAACAAAGAGATCTGTGTTGGAAGCGGTATAGCCAGAGTGCTCCTTGGAAGCCAGGATGGCCAGACTTCATCTCTCATACTTACGACATGTTGCCAGGAGGGACCAGTCACTGGAGAACGATAT